TACAACCCCAAATCAGATGGATTAGTGGAGCGGTATAACAAAACACTTATCGATACGGTGGCGATGATGCTAGACCCCCATCGTAACCAGAGAGACTGGGACCAGCAACTCCCCTTTGCTACATTCGCATACAGATCGGTACCACAAGAATCAACAGGCGAGACTCCGAACATGCTCATGTTGGGCAGGGAGGTTATGCTGCCGGTGGACCTTACTATAGAAGCGCCTCCTCCTGATGACGAGGCCATGGAACCAAAGACAGACTATGGGGAGGAGTTGCGCAGGAGGATGCAAAAGGCCCACGAGCGAGCCAGAGAACAAACCAAGACTAGTGCTAGACGCCAAAAGTTGTCGTATGACAGACGAGTTGAGGGTGCAGGTTATAATGAAGGTGACTTCGTCTGGTTGTATAACCATGCAAGGAAGAAAGGGGCCTCCCAGAAGTTAGTTTCAAGATGGGAAGGGCCGTACCTCATCATAAGGAAGCTGTCAGACGTAAACTACAGGATACAAGACAAACCCAGAGGAAAAATGCTCGTGGTTCATTTCGATAGACTGAAGCCTTACAAAGGCACTCCTATCGAGTCTTGGCAAACAGAACCTCCAAGACAAGTCACTGAAACTCCGCCTCATGTGGATCAGGAGCGATCGCCTGCAGGGAGGCATCACCAGAGGAGTGACGAGGAAACGATTCCTGACAGAGGTGTAGAGGAGGACACACAAACTGACCCAGTACTTGACATAGGGAGCATTGACGGAGACGGAATTACAGAGACTATGCAGGACACGGAGAATGATCCTGTAAGCCAGAATCGAAGAAACCCACGGAGGGAAAGGAGGCTACCTCTCCGTTTCCGTTAGGCGGTATATAATTCTGTACAAATTCAGTAACTTATCAATTTGTTTTTATTGTTTACTTATTAGGTGACGACGACTGAACACAATGAAGGAGCAGGAAAAGAAAAAGTTCCAATGTGAAGAGTGCTCACTGACGTTTCAGCACAGGACCAGCCTGGCCCGACATAGACAGGTGGGTCATGGCCCGTCTCAGATCTTCGCTTGGTGCGTACGGTGTCCCTTCAAGAGTACGAGGAAGGATAACTTGCGAAGACACTACCGTCAGAATCACGAGGCCCACATCCATGAGGTGGATCTTCTTCCCTTGGAGACTGAGAGAGAGCGGGCGCAGAGGCGACGTTCGGAAGAGGGAGAAAAAGCGGCAAAGGAGACCAGACGGATGGTGGTGAAGAGAACAGAGGGACGGAAGGTGAAGGATCTTGGAGATGCTGAGACATGGGCAGAGGCCCTACGTATACTCCATCAGGAAGACGACGTCGACGAACAACCACGGGGAGAGAAGCGACCGACTCAAAGTGAGCCAGAGGCACAGGAGGAACCGCCAGCCAAGCGGAAGTCCGCTAAGCAGAGTACAATCACTCAAGGAGGCCCCCTGGATCTCTCGATTGTAGGACCGGAGGCGAGTGGAGGACTGTCTTTGTCACCGGCCTCTTTGTCCTTGCTAGAAGAAGATGTGCCAGCCCCAGTGCGTAAGCCACTTGGTGGTAAGCCTCGGGGGATGCTCCTTATGGCCCAGCAGGACCACGTGGATAGCAGTGAAGAGGAGGCGGAAGAGTTGCAACAACATGAGGCGGCTGAGGCAGCACCCAACAACGGAGCAGCTGCGCACATCCGAGAGGATCTGCGCCCAATCCACGTGACATCCCTGGAAGAGGTACTGAGGGGCAGGGTTACCCGAGTGAAGGAGGTGTCGACCACCCTCGAGTACAAGGAGGGTGTGAAAGTTCGTGAGCAGCGGTTGGAGAGGGTGTACGATGTCCAGTTCGACCAAGATTTCCGCAAGAAGTAACAGCGCATCCGAGAGATCACAGAGGCAACATGTTTCGTACCGGTTCCTATGAGTTAGGCTCGTTTCTCTAAGCCATCATTTCTTAAGTTTATACAGAGTTTTCTAAAACCTTTATATAAGTTTTCTTAAAGTTTCTTAAAAGTTTATAAAGTTTTCTATCAAGTTTTCTCAGAGTTTTATAAAGTTAACTATGTTTCCTTTATGAGGCGCATGTATAAAGAGGTGCCGACGTGTTGACGTTATGGACCTTTTCGTTGTTTAGATTAAAAGTTTTGATAAGAAAGTTTTGAGTAATTTGCTTTTGAATATCAGGTCTTTAGCTGTTATGAACGAGGACGTTCATGCTAAGAAGGAGGCTTTGTGGCGCAAATTACTATAGCAGCGTAGTCTAGAGAGGGCGCGCTCGCGGCTGTGGGCCCTATATAAGGCCCCGTGGCAGTTGCGAGACGTACATGTAGACTCAGCTCAGGTAGACACAGCTCAGTAGACCGAGCGTACGCCGAGATCATCTGCGGGGAAGAGACGGTAGGCAAATTAGCTCGCGCGCGCTGACGGGCGTGTGCTGGGTGGTGCGGTGAAGTCGGGCTGGCATAAGGAGGCACGGAGTCCGCGGAGGCTACTGGAGGCGGAGCGACATACAGCGATCTGCCGATTGTAACGTGACGGAGCCGGAAGGGCGCGCTCATCTACCCGCCGCCTCGAGGAAGGATTGCGACTGGAAACGGTCGAGGGCGGGAGAGTGGAGGCGCACAGGAACGCTGGAGGCGTACGGTTCTTACCCGGGATTCAGAGGCTATCCCCAGCCAGGCATTGCCGTGCTGCCCAGCACTGCCTTACCGTAGCGGCTAATGCGAGGCTACCCCTACAGAGATAATTGAGAGGCTCAGAGACAATCACTTATTAGAGGCTAACATTATAATTTAACGAGAGGTCCATCATATGACATGATTCTATGTAAATAAATCAATCAGTAATTGAGGTCATTGACTGTTGTGTACTTAATTGTCTGTCCTTGTCCATCTTTGAGGTTGAGGGGCGTGGGTGAGTGCTGCTACGCGTATAGGGCGGTATATTTCCATCCAAACGGGCCTGCATTCCCGGCTGCTGGGGTATTGATCCTAAGCTAGGTTGTCTGGGTAAAGGGACTACGGATCGGGTCACAGATATTCCCGCCACAATACATTAAGGAGTGCATCCCGAATTACAAAATCATAGATTTGTGATGGAACAGAGAAGGAAAAAGTGGACTCAAAAGAACCCCCTAGTACTTCCTCAGGACTACCCTGCTAAATCCAACAGAGTCCAACCGGACTTTCCTGTTCAATCCACTGTGCCTCATTTTCTGCTGAATCCAATGGAGTCCAACAATGCGTTATAATGCGGTTCAGTTGCCTGCTGAATCCAACATTTTGCATGAGGAATGTACACAAGGGGTTAACTGCTCAATCCAACAGGCTCCATCGGGTATGTGACATACAGTAGTTGGATCCTGTTGGATTCAGCAGGGTTAGGGTTAAATTATGACAAAGGTGAAGAAAGCTAAAATTACATTGCCAAATATGAATTTTTGATGAAAGCATAAAAACAATAACATATACTGTACAAAATATCTCACTTATGAAGATATTATATTTATCTGTCTTGTAGAGATGCACTCCCCCCACCCGAGACTATTTGTGATTTCTGTCTTTGTTTTATAAATAGATGAATAAATGATAACATGTCATGCAATCCAAGGATTTCGTAAAGTGATGCTTCTCTGGTTAACAATAACTGGGGTAGATAAAAAAGCCACTTCATTAGCACTTGATAAAGTGCGGTACTACAGCAAAAATGCTTGCATAATTGAACCCTGCAAAGCTAATTTGCCAACTGGTGTTAGTAATTATCGTACACCTGATAACTACCACTGAGCAGGTGGAATGAGAAGAACACCGCATAATGAGTGCCAGCACAATAACATACCTGCTACGATTAATTATATCATTGTGCACATGCCGCTGATAGTACACGACAATCAGAGAACGTGTTCACTTAATACGAAAGTGTCAATGATTCTGCAGTGTCAGCAGTTTTCCATTAAGAATTGCAATTTGGCATTTCCACGGGTTTAAGCCTGCCAACATAAATATTATTCCTATTATATATACATCTGCTTGCATTATTGATGAAGCGTTTTGGAGATTTTTTGGGTATCATTTGAGATCTTAATTGTTTTAACGTTTCAAAAAATTACATGTGAAGAGTGTGCAAACAGGATCATCGTTGCATTTTTTTTTTTTTTTTTTCATTGACTGATTAAACGATTGCAAAAATGCACGATCGTCATTTCTTACACAATGTGCACTTGTACAGTGTAGATTCACTTCCAAGCACTGGACAACCCTATACACGAGATTTCCATTCGGTTCATCTGGCCAAAAAAAAAATAGTTCTGCTTCCGATTACATGGCATTCGAAAATAGGGTAGGTAGGTAGGGAAATTATTTTTTTTTTGCCAATTTTTTTGTGTACAATCATATGGAGGGGTCTGCATGTAGTCAAGAGCAAAAGGTAGAAATTGATGGTTTGGGGTAACTTTTCCTCATTTTTCCAATAAAAAAAGTTAGGGTAGGGGCTGTCAGAATAGGGTAGGTAGGGAAACCGGAAGCAGAACTATTTTTTTTTTTTGGCCTCACTGACACATGCAAGTACTAGGAGACTCATTAGTAGGCAGGATTCAAATCCCAGTTTTGCTAGGGACCACCCTATAACTTCCCCAAATCAAACTTTGTGAAAGGTGTCGATGACATTTTGTTTATACTTGAAATTTCATCAAGACCGGTGTGAAGTAAAAGTGTTTCAAGGTAAAACAAAAACATTGACTGGAGCGGGGTTTGAACCTGCGACCTTTAGATTACCGTTCCAGTGCTCTACCAACTGAGCTATCCAGCCCTATGTTGGTGGCTCCCGATTTTAGTCAATGTCTTTGTAAAAGTGAATTATTTGACCTTCCGAAATTCTCTGAAAATCCGTCAGATCTGCTGGATCTCGAAGAATCATGAGGATTTGGGTTGAAGGTGTTAAAGATTGTTGGCAAAGTGGGACTGGGGCTGGGGTTGTCATTGTCACGGAAGAAAAACAAGTGACTTACCCTCAATATAAATACAGCAAGAAAGAAGAAGTTAAAGATGTTGTCAATAAAAAACAGCAGGTCTCCGTCCGGAGGAAAACATCGTTCAATTGGCCTGCAGAGTGATACAAGACAAGAAATGCATAAAACGCTTTCCAATGCTAGGCTGTCATGTATTACAAACTATCAACAATTCAAAAGTCATGATGCTCTCGTTATCATTCAAGCTTCAATGATTTCTGCTTTATATGAATAGTTTTATCAGACTTTGCAACTCTTTCAGTGTGCTGCAAAATTCGTGGCTAGAATGCCACAATAACTGAACATCTGGCTATGACCAATATCTTCTTTAACCCTCCTGCTATTTAAACAGTCACAGACAGTCAAAATTTCCATCCACTTCCTTGCTATACTTTTAAAACAGGCTAGTCACCAGCAGTCAGATCATATGTCAAGCAAGCACTGTGACTAGTCACATTCAGTCAACAGACCATGAACAGACAAAGCAGGCAAGTTGTGAACACAGCTGGCTTATCAATTATCCACAGTCAAAGCCAAGCTGTATCAAGTTACATAAACAGTCAGGGCCAGTCAATCTTGTTATTTATGCAGAATGGGAATTCTTAACTGTTGAAAACAGTCACTTGATTGATTTTGACTGAAGAGACTGCTTGGCACAGGAGGGTTATTCCAAAATTAGCAATGACAGCCGAAAATCGCAATATTAAACATAAGATTTGAGGCTTTGCATGGTGGTGTATCAGTATCGTGGTAATAACGTGGTAATAACTACTGCTAAAGAAGATATTTAGTTCTGAAAAGAATTTGTCCTGCTTATTATCAACTTTCGCTAAGTAGTTTTTGTTCTGATAAGAACAGTCCTGCTTTAAGTTGTAAAAGAACTTGTCTTTGGTCTCAACGTTTCGACTAGCCTGCTCTAGTCATCGTCAGGAGGCATACTAAAAAATCTTTGCAAAAAATCTTTGGAGGATACCATTGTGTTTATTACAGCCAAGTTCTAATGTGATATTTCACGTGTTCTTCAATTTAAAAGCAGAAACATAACACGCGCTAATGTGATATCATGAATGGTGGAATTGCCAGGCACTAACCTGAAATGTTCACTTCATTTGTTCTAATGTCAGCCATCATTCAAAGTAGTACATGTTTAATGAATTCATGTTTAACAATTCATCGTGACCAATCGCAACCAACACATCTTGGCATATGCATCGTATCATGAGATCATGCATTACACGTACATCTGTATACATCTGTTCAATCATTGATCTAGGCCTACATTATGTGACATCAATCAGAGTACATACATGTACATGTACATACATGTAGCATACATACACATTTGTAAAACTTCTTCTTTTTCTGGACTTTCACCACTTCAAAATAGCAGCAAGTTTTAAAACATACGGTATCACTGATGATAAAGCCATTTTCCCTAAAAAGGTGTTTAAAAGAGACACTGACACCAAAGATGTTTATTTTTTTTCCTAGCTTTTTCAAAGATGAAAAAACATAATAAAAAATCACACTAATAAATCGCACTCCTCCATGGATACAACAAAGATATAAATTAATTGAAAAAGATAACAGCTACAATGTACATTCATTTATAAAGTCGTTAGAAAAAGAGCAGTTAAAATTGACAGCAATAACCCTGTGTATATTAAGCCTATTAATTAATTAGCTGGGAAGACGAATCTCCCCCCCCCCCCCAACATCTGAGCGTGCCCATCATCTAACAGTGATTTCCACAAACGACCTTGGTGCTGTACTCCCGACAATAGATAAAACATAATTAAATCCAAATTAGCAATTAACCAAACTCAATAAATCAATCAGCTAAATGACCAGACTCTGATGAGACCTAATTTGGTGTCTCACAATTCCCGGAGGGGGGGGGGGGGTAACCAGAGGTTAATAATCAATTCTCGGATCTCAAGCGTAGCGTATTTATGACCGCTTTAAAAGGGAGTCCCATTAAAAGTCAATTTGTATGGTTTGGACTACTGGTTTTGCTTTCCCTGTTTTGTTTTTTGTTTGGTAACAATCAGATTAATCATTCTGTAATTCTAATTGATTTCAACAATGGTTTTTATGACTGGAGCGCTCAAGCGTAGACCACCTCTAGATGTTACAAAATATACAGCCCTGGTCATGCTGGTCCTAATATCTGGGCAATTTATTGTAATTGGCGAATGGTGTAATTATTTTGTTCAATGCTGATGGCTTCATGTTGTTTGAGCAGAATATTAAAATGAGGTTCTCAACCCACAAAGAGTGTCTAGGTAATGTTATTTCTGTCAGCAATGAGTAATGAGGTCATGTGGGGACAACTTTAATTACTTTCAACTGTTCTTCCTGAGTAGTTACCCAATCATGCTCTTAGTTCCGTAAGAATTTTCAATTTTGAGTTTTATTTTAGAAAAAAAAAAAGTTTTTAATTAAAAAATTTTTTTTTGCAGATCTGGAAACATCTGGAAAAGGCTTTTATTGCTTTTACGCCTCTAATGCACAAAAAGAACTGCCTAAAGCATTGTTGACAGTATTCTGTAATGAAATGTCTCACTCCAAAGCGGATCACTTTTGTATTGCTAGAGAAATAGCAATTAATACAAACTACTTTTGGCAGTTTGGGTGAGAAACTAAAAAAATACAATGGATTTTTTAAAAAGAACGGGACCCTTTTAATTTCTTTGCAATTTTTTTAAAAAATGGAGAAACTGAGGTGCCACATTGGAACATAAAAACTGTTCAAAACTTGTGCCAGGCATGTAACTGGGAATTTAGAAAAAACGAGGAAATTCCACACAACACAAGACTTTGTACAGTGTTTTTCAATTTATGATGGCATTCATGAGAAGTAAAAAAAATCTGAGGAAAAGTTGCATGCCTGTTTTGCACATTACAATTGTGAGCTTCAGCTTGAAAACTCACTCAGGTACCGGTACTTCACTGTGCATAGATACAACCAAAAGCAATACATGTATGTATCTGTGTCCTAAAGAAATGTAGCAATCAATCCATAAATATTTAAAATACTAGCACTCTCTTTTTGCCAAACTTATCTAGTAAATACTCTACACAATGGTCTTTATCCCATCTCATTTGGACATCCCAGTCCAGAGATACAGCTAATTAAATGAAAGGACTTGAATTCCAAGTTTGGCCACTTGGTATCTAATGAAAGGCATTCACATACATGTACCAAGTACTGTAGGTGAAAAAAGTGGCACAAACAGATTTTGACAGTCTTTACAAGCTTTGCCGTAACTTATAAACAAAAGGTCCAAATCACACAGAACAAAACTCCTGTCAAGGGTAAAGAAACACTTTATCATCTCATGGTGATATTTTTTTTTTTTTTAAACGATTTAGTTTCCTCAGAAAAAAAATGTTGTTGACTGCTACCTTTTTGTAGACACCCTGTACAATGTATAAAATTCATGAAACTACATGTAGATACAAACTACATGTAGGCCATGGTTGTGTAGTTTACATTTTCACCTACTACTTTCATTTGTGTGGAATGACCCCATAGGCCTAAATGATCATTGAATTTGAAGACCTTTGTGAAGTGTTATGAATTATTAACTGGCTTTATTCTAAATCTAATTACAGCAGTAAAACTGGATAAAAGGGATTCATTGCAACATATGGTACGTACATGTGTAGGTGTTTAATTTGGGAAAGAATGAGTTTTTCTAGGTTTTTGCTAGTCTAATGGGGTTTTCGAAATCTTTGCTTCGTCTTTGGCTTTGGCTTTACCTCGGACTTCTGAATCTCTGAGAGGCAAACTAAACAAAAATATTCCACTTTTTGCTTCACATCAACCGATTGAATGTTCCTGAGCATAACAGGCATAAAAATGTAGCTGGAGTTCCAGAAGTTCGGGGCCTAAAATCTCCTTAAGCCGAAGACGAAGCCGAAGCCAGTCATTTCGAAAACGCTCTATGAGAGCATGTCATCTGACTAACTGACTGACTGACTACTGTTAGACTTGCTAAAAGTCTCACCTTTGCTAAAAAATAACTGAATTTGCTGCTTCCAGAGGGCCAAACTTGTGTGCTCTCTCACCTCTTTGTACATCTGACTGACTCTCAATTGTGAATTAGATTTGCGTAATCCTTGCCTTGACCCACAAAATGGACTCAGATGCTTGCCTAGTCCTGTTTTCATTATAATTTTGAAGAGAATATCGATTTCATGTATCTACAATGCATGCCATTACACACTTATCTACAAAGGTGACAGCTGCTTAACACATCAACATAAGTGTAGCATTCCATTACTTGATCTGTAAAGTTGCACGTACAACAGCTAACATCAACAGACGTCACCAGGATGCTTTACGTGTACTTGATAAAAAAAATTGAGGGACCAGAATTTCATTGACACATGGTCATATACTTTGCCGTGTGCCCTCATGCATGGATGTATTAATTTCACTGTTTGACAAGGTAACTTTGATGTAGGAATGCCATAACCACTACATGTGATACAATTGATCATAATTTGATCATTTTTTGTATATATACAAAATTGTTTTACAAAATATATATATTTGTTAATAAATCAAAAATTTAGACTCGAGGCCGGTTCATATTTCAAGCAAAAGCGAATAAGATGCGAATCAATTTGACGTCAAGAAGCATTCGCTGCAAAATTCAGTGCCGAAACGTGCCCCGAAGTCACATATTTACATTTGCGTTCACTTTCGTGCCGAGTATGAACCTGCTCTAACCGTTTTGATAGTTTTTCAGGTCAAGTAAGCAGTTTGCAGCAGTTTATTCATTTTCATTTTTTTTAATAAAAAAAATTCCAAAGTTGGATCTGATCACCTTTTGGTGCATGTAGGTACAATGTTAAGCGGCAGCCTGTTTCATTGTGGGAACCTTTGGGAATCTTTGGGGTTGGTTCAGCTCCCTTCAGCCCCCTGAAGGGGTACTGTTTAGGGGTAGGGTACAGTACCCCTAAACAGATTCCAACAAAACATGCCGTTGGGGTTTGATGGGTGGAGTTCTGTTAGGGTTACAACTGTTTTCAATGAGGCCAACACAGACTCTTCCATCCCATACAGGACTGCAGGAGTTGATGACGTGCAGACAGTAGCCTGACATGCAGGCCTGGCCATTGTATGGATGATGGACTTGGCCAGTCAACCGTGTAGTGACTTCATGGCTTATCAATTCCAGCTGGACCATATGGCTGGAGCAGCCATTGCAAACTGTTAAAACCGCTCTTTATATTTTATGCTATAGCATAACTAATGGGGCATGGGTTTCTGTGCCCCCCCCCCCTCCCCCGGAAGGTGAATGAACTTCAACCCATTTGTGCCTTCAGAAAATGAGGCCCCCAATTTGTGCCCCCCCCCTAAAAACTGAACCCCAGTTACGTCACATGTTGAGCCAAAACTGCGTCAAAACGTGGTGGAAATTTTTTAAAAAATCCAAATAAGTCATTGGAGATTCACTTTTTAGCAAAACATATAATTTAGTCATCTTTTAAAAAATAAACAATGTAATAGCAAAACATTTAAAGCGAATATACAACATTTGCAAACATCGAAAAACAAAACTACCAATTTTTTACGAAATACCTTACTAAGATGTTGGTAATTGACAGTCTAAAGCATCCTGTAAAATTATGGCACCTGTGTGAAGTTATTTTCAAGAAAAGTGATATTTTTGTATAAATTTCCAGCGGTGGTCGGCCGACCACCGTTGGAAAAACCTAACTATTTTTCAACTACTGCTCCAAATTTACCATTTTTTTCTGTCCAAATTTTTTTCCTAAATGTTCATGAACGGGTGCAGGCCAGCTAGACTGGTTCCCTTACTTAACAATTTTCCGGCATCTATGAATTGATCAAGTTCATCTTTAGTGGAGTCAGGGAACCAGACTACTTTAACTATTTTGTTTTTCTTGGTTTTTCCAGCATTTGTGAACACAAAACCTCAAACATGTCAGTGTAACAATATTTGATCTATTATACTAACCCCTCAAATAGTTTATTTTCAGACAATTACAGCTAAAGCCAAAGATGTACATTCCCTTTAAACATACACAATAAAAATAAACATACAAAAAGGAATGAGTACTTACTTGCTTGTGTCTAGTACATAAATTGCATAGGATCCCATGCTGACGCAAAAGTATGTGATCAACTGCAAAAAAAAGAAGAAGACAAAACACGTTTTTACTGGTCAATGTTACTTTATTACTCTTACAATGAGCCATGAAACTAATTTACTAGGTTTTTTTAGGGAGGTCTAAGAATATGAAACAGCCACATTCTGGCACCAGCTTATTAGCTAAAAAGTTCCAAATAACCACCACTGGATCTTATTAGTCTGCTTGTTTTGTTCGCTACTTTTTTGCATTTCATAAAGTGTCTATTTCAATTTTTTTTTGTGGAGTATGAATATTAACACTCAATGATCGTCCAAATTTTTAATGGAAGCTTAAACTTTGCAATGATATATGTGTACAAAATACAACACTAAGGAAGAAATGAGCACATTTTACACATTATTCAAAGGGTGTATATTCAATTGTTATTGCTTCATTTTTTTCCCACTTTTTTTATAAGAAGTAGAGATATTGGAAATGTTTAATTATAATTATGTTGGAGGCTACAAATTTACTGCAAAATACTAATATATCCAAGATGTATTCTTCAAGTTTCTTTCCACGCACTGCGTCACTCTGAAATTCCCAACTTCATCCTGTTTTTCAGATACCTATAACCTATCTCAGTTCAAATCAGGTTTTGCCCTTCACCGACGTTTAAACACTGTATACTCAGTGTGCTACCTCCCAAGTGAAAGTTGGAACAAATCACTCGGGTGGGACTCGAACCCATGACCTCCTGCTATCTCGGTTCAAGCACAATGTGAATGTGCATCTCTCATATTAAACTTAATCTTCTATCCTTCACTTTTCTCTGCTCTTTTCTTCTTGTGGGCCCCACCTTGATCGGCCTTTTGTGCCTTGTATAAAAAAATATATGTGCCACAGATACAAGATGTACACAGCAGTGTTGAAATTTGTCAACCTCGCAAACATCAAACCTCAAATTATCAATTAAGCAAGATTCTACCCTGAGAAAACCGGAGAAAAATTTGTCCTTGTTACATCATCAGACTTGATTTCATTTGTGTCTGCTCCTAGCCTGCAACAGAACACAGACATCTAATTCACTTTAAGGAACTCAATCGTGATATTTTGTCTGACAGCCAAAAACACCTGCTCCTGTAAGATGTATGTAAAATGTGCCCATGACTAAGTGAGTAGAGAAATAGGTTAAGTAGCATGTGCCACCTTCTTAAAGTTCACACCAGACTGGCACCTGGACTGCTCTGAAACGTGCAAAACTAAATCAGGCCAACTTTACTCACTCTTTAGCCAGCAAATTTCTCCAAACATTCCATTGGGCAAAGAAAAGGTCTTCATTTCACCGACCAAGTTTGCAGACTCAATTCAATTTTTAAAGGAGACTTTTTTTCAATATTTTGCACATGAGAGGGAAGTCAAGTGATTTCAAAATGAGGCGAAAGACTAGACTGGTACATGTCCAACCATGGTCCAACTATTTGAAAAGACTGCCCTCTTCATTCAGTGTCATTACTAGTCTGGTGGCTGACTGTGGAGAAATGTACAGTAAATAGAGACTATAGTTCCCAGTTCATGCCAATTGTTTCTTTTGGCACAGTTGATTGATGCAGAACTGAAGCAGTGTTGGGCTGGTTGTTTCAGGTGCCAGTCTTTTTTCTTGTGTTGCATGTTTTCAATACCGTAAGTTTTGGGACTCTCATCATGCTCATACACATGTATTGAGAGTCCCAAATGTTTGGACTAAGTCCACACTTGCGTCAATGGCAGTGGAGATTGAAGCACGTGGTGGAAATTGAAGCCCTGGTGGAAATAGGCTATTGGGAAATTTTACTTTCTGCATAAAGATTAGCTGGAGGATTAACATTATTTTGAAAATTTTGGAAAATTTTGTCAGCTAAAGACTGAGTAAAGTACAGTTCAAGGTCCCAGTCTGGACAACGACCTGACGACTGGCCGGCGTACCAGAGTGCCACATGTACCGCGCCGGTACATTGGCCGGTAGTGCACCGAGTCATGATGATGCAGGACGGATCGTCGCCCGCGCGCCCGAGTGCGAGTGGAAATAATCGACTTGAAAATTTAGCAGAAAGGTCTTGGACATACCCCCATCATACGATAAGCATCCTGTAACCTTCGTCACCTCGCTACTAGTACTACTACACACACAGAAATCAAGGCCTTCTTCAAGAACATTTCAAATTAGGATTAGCAGAAAACTTCCGCTGCATGTGCGCGGCCATTTTGTTTTAAGCACGTGTGACGTCTTCAAGTTTACATGACGTCAGAGTAATATGTAAATATTATATGTTAATCATGCAAAACAAACGCTCATTGGCTGAATGTTTAATCGCTTGTCTGATTAGCTTAAAATGCATAAACTTTGAAATCCAATTTCAACTGCGAGAAATCGAGCAGTTTTGTCCCTCCACACCCTCAAAAAGGGGATACATGCGGGCAACATCCTAATCCGTAATGGGGGGGGGACCATTTCTACTCCGTGATGACAGATAAAATACTTTAGCGCTAGACTTGCAGACTATTTTTTTGATAATTTATTACGGTCACAAATCGAACCAATTTGTGCCGAAGCACAACTTTAATATCACCACCATCGCAGTAATTACAGTGTGACGATGAAGTCTGATGGCGTCTCATCAAGCTTAGGGTTCTGGGATTATTTTCAACGGAGGAAAAAAACCTGACGTGGCAAGATGACGGCAGTGTTTCAGTTCATGAGACGACAACCCAATTACCGAGGTGTAATGAATGTCTCTCGTACTCCTGGTCTACCGTATCAGCCGGGCATGATGTGAGGTGCTTGCCCGCTAGAGAAACAAGCTGGGGAAAACTTGATAAGATAAAATAAATAAATAAACAATATTGAACCAATGTTCTCAGAAATTGACTCTGAGTCAATTCTCCAAACTTTTTAAAGGCATGTTATTTTTCAGAAGAGAGTGGAGGTTTAAATAAAAGTTAGAGTTCAATACACAGCTTATTAATGCTATAACCCTATCCGTTATTTATTTCGAAGAGGGATCAATTTTACGGAAAGATAGCCGCTCCCGCCTTTTATGATTGGACATCTTATATTCTCCTTCTCGTCTTTGTATTTTTTTATCTAAATAAAAAAAGGTTCACATTAATTGGCCTGAGACACGTCACGCATAGTGGCTTGCTTACGTTACGGAAGCCGGGTATAGACAAAAAGCCGCCAAGCTCCCATAAGAAAAGGCACACAATTTATTGTGACGTCATTACGATTAAAGGTCTATTGATTTTAGAAGTTGTCAAAGTCAGGTAAATAAATGATTACAAATTTATTACGAGGAAATTCTTTTTTTTTGCAGCAGCATCAACGAATTTGAAAAACTGCACGCTAGGTTTCCAATTAAGTTGTACCCTATCCTCTACGAGTTCTTAGAAATAGATCCGAGCATCAGTCCATGCTCCTGGTCGTCCCCTGGTCACTCCCCCCTGTACCCTCTTCCTCCTGTACTCAGGGCAAGGTCCAATCCCCTTTCAATCTGGATTTTCCCCGGACGAAGCAAAAAACATCCTGCCATCCCAAGGTGCTGTTTTCTATACTGGAGCCAGTTGGGGTTTATCGGAGTCGCCCATGGGCAGATTTGGCCCAGATTCCCCGCATCCCGTGTAGGTGAGACGATGCGCGCGAACCAGTGAGGCAAGACGGTATACGATATTATTATTGGCTGTCAAGCAGAAACGCGCCGACGCGACGCCGGTAAATGCGCTGGTTTGTTCGTCTGGTTCCCGCCATCCCACACAGCTACAGACACACAGTCACACATACATGCAATAACAAAACAAAACTCGGGAGCAGAAGGGAAGTGGATTACCGAACCCCGAGCAAGGTTGTCTACGGATAGTCGCCGATTTCCAGATCTCTTCTTCTTCTTGATATATTTTAATGCCGTTAATCTGCCGCAGCGGCCGCGGCGTAACTGCGAAGGAAAACATTCCTCTGCTCCGGACCGTGCGGAAAGAAATACCAATCGGCTCTATCATTGCCTTAAACAAATGAGCTTTTTATTTTGCTGAACCTCTTCCCAAGATGAAAAACAGAAGGTGGACATTTTGGTAAAGGTTTTCCCCTTCCCATTAGAAATCATATTATGGCATTCACAAGAATTTCAGTTTGAGGCCGATGCGTATCGATTCTTGCACAGCAAAAAAATGGAGACGTTTGCATATTATTCAATGCAAACCAAATACAGTACATGTCGATGTTACAGTGCCGGAGAACCTATGTTTAAAATGATCTGTGCTTGACATTTACAATCAGTTTGTGTATACAAAAAAAATACAATTTTCAATCAATGAAAAATGATGCTTGCTTAATGGAGATATCAATAACGCAATAACGTTAAACAAACATACCGAACAACGATTGCAAAATAGAAAATCATCTTTTTTCTTTCACCGTTTCCTAAAGTTGTTTGTTCTTTCAAAATTGTTAATGACATATTAATTTTACGTCAATGTCAAATTCTAAATTGATATTTATCACCTCGTAACCTTGTATGATCCGTTGTTGGGGACAAAAGCCGCAATTTTATATTATTTATCTTTGTCGTTTACTTTCGTTTTGTTTATTTGTGTTCAATTGAATTGAAAAAAATTGAGTTGAAAGCTGAAACACTGAAAATTTGTTTAATATTAGCGTCTTACGAATCTTACGATGATGAAACTTCGGTCGCAGAACGACCAAACCATCATTAGCCAAGTTCAGAGTGTGTAGTTTGTCATTTTCACACATAATATATTCCACACTGATATACAGTCAAGTCTTGTTATAACAAACTCGTTCGGACTTAGCCAAATCGTTTGTTATATCAGAATTTTGTATTAAGAGGAACATCAGTCCCATTCATTGTGCACATACATGCACAGTCGGGACCAAGGCTTTAATGCTTGTTATAACCAGAATTTTGTATTAACAGAGTTTGTACTAACGAGAGTCGACTGTACATACATTTTGAATGGGAACACTTAAAGTTGTACCCTGTGTTTTATTCGGTATACGTGT